TCATATGCCAGAAATCATATTTTAAATGTAATGCTACAAGATTATCTTCCGAATAAAAAAAATGCATGTAAATCGAACAATCCATCGTTGTTTTATTGCAATTTAAAGTTCTATACCTCTAAAAAAAAAGACCCTTTATAATATACTTTGTAAGATATTATTTTTAGTAATATCCACCACTGCGGTAGCGTCCGTCAAACACTTTGAACCTTAAATAGAATCAAATCAAATAATTGTCCGGCTAGATTGACTTCCCTCTTTCTTTTTTGTAGGACAGTTTAGATAAAAAGATGTATAAGTAAACTATATAGCCTAATATAACGTTATTCGTTTCAGAAAAGTGCTAGCAGTGAACTTATATTTTTTAATAGAACATCTTGTAGGATATTTTTAGTAAGAATAATATTTTTTAAATATATAAGATTTGATATTATTATTTTCGTTGGTTAAAATCTTATTTTATTTTATTTTTTAACAGGCTACTGGAACAAAACATACACGGAATGCTGTTGAAAAGCAGAGTAGCACATTATCTCTGCTCGGGCACCTTACGTTGACACTAGTACTATTTTGCTACTATACGCTAAAGGAGTTAACTGCAATATATTATGTGCTCAATAACATTTATAAATCCAAACAATAGGTGTACATGTGCTCTAATTTATATTTCCTGATATTCTAGGTTACAAATTATTCAATAATTAACTATGTGCCTTAGATCGGACCACGCGTTACTCGTTTCGAAGGTCAATACACTACGAATATAGATATACCAGTTTTACCTATTATTCATTGTTCATTTCATATTCAAGAAAAGCTGAGTTAATTATTTTGTTAAACGGAGCTGGAAAATTCTTCATATAGCTTGTATTTTTACTTTTACGAGGCAGCAGGGAAGGAGAGTCAGCAAAACTCTGAGAATCAAGATTACAGATATAGGATAGCTCAACATGTCTCCTAAAATTTTCTTTTTACTATTTGAAGGTAAAAATGACGTTTTTACAGCCATCTGATGCTTTTCGACTGTGCCAGGGAGAAGCACAGTAGGTATATGAAATTTGAATGACTTTGAGAAATCGATAACTAAAGTAGATTTGCTACTGTTGAACATTTCAAGATAAGCGTTCTAGGAAAATCAAATATAACAACTATATAAGAACACATTAAGTACGGGTTATACAATTTATCTCTTAATCTTTATCAATTATCCTGGAATCTAAATAACCTGTTGATAACATGTTATGCCTTTAAACAATGTCTTTGGATTAACAAGATTTGCATATTATTAAAGTACCTATATACATCCTGTGCATACTGTATTTATGAAAATAAAACAAGTTTAAATAAATTAAAAACTTTATTGGACTGAAGACTTATTTGATTTTTGGTACAAACATTTTTCGTAAAACTATATAAGTGACTGCAAAATGGTATTGATTTTAGTCGATCCTTTAGCAAGTCAAACGAATGTCGGTTTACCCTAAGATGCAGAGCACGATGATTTTTTTACTTTAGGCACTAATTCCCTCCTTCTTCTTATTGTGGTGAGCTATTTCTTGTAGGAAGACTAGTTACGTATAGTCGGCTGCGTCTTGTACGGCATTTTGGCTTGCCTTTTAGAAACTTTACTCGAACAATATCAGGCAAGGGTATGTTTTTCAAATGAGCGTACATATTTTCAAATTACAATCGCTTTGACTGCGAACGTGTATGTAAACGCCTCAAATATTTACTATTACTGAAAGTGTGTGTTCTGGAATGGCGAGCCACTATTCCATCGATTTAATTGGTCAGTGTATTTGCTGCATCTCACCTGTAGATCTGAACTCAGACACTGCATCTTCTCTTTTTAGAACTCTCTATATATTTTGCTTTGCTATCTTCACAATTTCGCTCCCTACGAAGCATTCAAGTTATTTAGAAGCTAGAGGCTAGTATATGTGACTATGCCCATTTTATAATTTTGGTGAAAAATGTGGAAACTGTGTTTTTCCGTGTTTTCTGCCGTCCCTAAAACATGCACTGCATAATAAAGACGGCGAACTGGAATCATCTTTGTGAGACTTGAAAATATAACAAGCCGAGCAGGCAGAATAGAATCTGTCCGGTCTCTAGTCCTAGGTCCAGTTTTGGAGAGAGACAACGGAAAGCAAGGAAGCAGAAAATTTCAGTCTGTATTGCATGAGTAGTTGACATTGCCACCTGTGAGTAGTTTGTCAAAACAAGAGTCGAGCAGGTCATACTGAACCGCAAAAAAACGATTTGAGTCTGAAGGCGTAGCATGTACAAACTTCTCTGCCGCCCACCTCCTCAAGCTAGAGGTTGTACGCCAATACGGAGACTAGTATAATTATTAGCCCTAAACCATGCGCATCTTCCCAATAGTTTCGTAACAACACCATATTAAATTAGCATTTGAGCGCGAAGGAAGGACGTGCGAATGCCCAAAAGTATACACAAATGATCCTTGAATTTGATTGAAAAGATGGTCCGATGGAGAGTTACCCCAGTACAACATCCCAATAGATACGAGCGCCGCGGCGACATTTGTCATTTGTATTGAATCGTGCTACGCGTCGTTCAGGACTGCTATTAATTCGATTATGTGTAAAAGAATTCTGCGGATGGATTACGCTTTTCTTCTTTTCGCTTCCCTTCCCCTCAATGGGCATGCACCTTTACTCATCTTACTTGAAACTTGATTTTTCAGTTTTTCATGCCATTCATAGTTCTCCACGTTTTTATTTTCAGTTCCCACGATTAATGGCGAGGATGTATTGTGATCATGAAAAATTTCAAAAAACGAGATATGTTTCTTAGATATGACATCGCAAAAAGCCATGTCGCTCATCTCCGTAGTTTGTATAGCGGTCTGTTAGTTGCTCTGTCTGCCTGCTAGATCTTTGACGCAATACAACTTGAAAAGTACCGCTCGAATTTACTACTGTACGAAAAAGCTTAATAATTTTTAAATCGATCCAGTTGCTATGAAGCTATGAGGCAAAAAACAAAAAAAAATTGAAATCATGGAAATCGCTTATGCTTTGTTTTTGACGATTCAGATGCTCGTAATCGTTTTCAGAAACAAATATCTCTAATATGGACGCTAGTACTGGTAGGGCAGGAAACACGTGTCTATGGACTTGATACGTTTAATTTCCCTGTTATATGTAAGTTCGTAGCTAACATTTTTCTCAAGCTGCTACATCAAAGGGAGGTTTGATTTGGTCCGTACAGGATTTGTTGCGCTTCTAGTATTTAGTCGTTTGTCTGCATTCGACAAGAGGAGAGTCGACGCTCGACATTAGCACCGAACTTGACCCAACGCGGTCCAACTCGAACCTAAATTTAAGCGTAGACGAGCGCATTCCAATACGTTCTAACAACAAACGCTAACGTCACACCATTTAAAAGATAGTATCTACGAAAGATGCAGTTAATCAAGAATAGTATTTATGAATCTTGTCCAATAACATCTAGTAAGATACCATAAATAGTTATTTTTTCAATTAACTAATAACATTCAGTACTTGTAATAATACATTATTTACCACTTACCTGAGAAACATGGCACAGGAATTATGCAAACATCCTGGTATTAGTTTTTAGTCATGAGAAGGTGCGACTTATAATGATCCAATCAGAGTTCCAGCAGTATCAGATCGAAGTTCTTCGCACTTTAAAAGCTTATCTAAGAAAGTATCCGTATCTTCAATTTTTGAGGCTTGTATCTTCACGTCTTTATTAAATTAATATTCTATACACTACAACCTATTTAAATGCTATTTACGCCACGTCACAACAGATGCAGCTGCTGGATCTCTTTTGATGCGGCATAAATGCCTAGTTGAAAATTCCAATATGTATGACATTTAAAGAAGATAAAGATAATATTATTATAATAATAACATTTTTGGTCATTTTAACAAATCTCATCTTAGATGCTTGAGAATTTTAATGACATACTGATGACATATTTTGTTTTTCTTTGTTTATCGATTTTCAGACCTGCGGTGGATCCTGAGAGCTCGTCAACGTGGAAAAAAATCTCAGAAGAATAATAAGCTTAAAACTACTTTAGCAGAAGAACAAGATAGATCATATCCGGATTATGATAAGTAAGCTAAAAAAACCTACTCGAAATTGATAGACAAACAGTTAACGTGGCGAGAAAAAACCGCAATTAAAATACTTGAAATGTCAATATGTGATTAATTCCCTCGGTCTATCCGGCAATAATCGGTGAGGTTTTGCTTGAGACAAAAATATATTTTTAGACATTATACATCCATTGTGTCATCGAGTAATAGCAAAACGATTATGTAGCGATTTGTAATAAAGTTTCCTTGGTTCACTCCTCGCTAACGAACTGATCCTAATTATCTCCTAGTTTTGCTCTGTGCGATTAGTGATATTTGCATTTTGTTTTATAATGGTCGCAATAAAAGTAAATGATCTACACAAGTGATGCGCGAGATGCATGTATTGGCCACCGAGCCTCACTATTATGTTATATCAGAGCAGAAAGAGTTCATTTCATTCTTTATTCAGATTGCTCGTACACATCAACAAACAACAGACCTGCTGGTCCAAGTCAGCGCGTTAACATACTACGACTAATAGACAGATCAGCAGAAAGTAACACCGCCTTTTTTACAGGCTGTTGCACCTTGTTTTTGAATACTGAACGCCAAGTTTCTGAAGTACAGCTACATATATCAAAATGTAGCCCACTTTTTCCTTTAAAGATTTATCTCTGCGGAGCCGGTGACAATAAGCTAACCACCTTCAGAGCAATCAAACCTGCAATATTAGAAAAGATGTCAGCCCCATTCTGCTATTTTTTTAGTTCAACTGTCATGTCTGATCACGGGACCTGGAATACTTTAAGACTACTCCACCAGCCGCAAACAGACTATTTTGAGATGTTTACAGGAATTTCAGATATAAGTATGTGGAGAAAATAAAACACCATATACAAAACAAAAACATTTATGTGAGTACTGTATTTGTATCACAGATCTAAAAATTTTAAAATGTACACATTTTAAATACAATTTTAAGATAGAAACATTCAGTCACAAAAAGTCAGTAATAATACTTATAAAAATCAATATAGTATAAATATGTACAACTTAAAATAAATAAAAGAATAAAATTACAATAAATAATCTTACTATTTAAAATAAATTAAAAATGTGACTACCGCCAAATACAATAATCAACGTTTAACAATAAGTACTAGATACCGGATTTTCATAAAACATGTCTACACACGCTTCAATCCTCACACAATAATACTTCGTTGATAGTTTCAAAAGTCTCACAATTTCAAATCAAATCGGAACATTATCCAAAATGTTAGTATGCTCAGTGAGGTCATCCTTTTGGATGGATGTTTGGAAGTGGCACCAGGAAACTTGATGTTTGTCGTAATTTGAATATATAGTCTAATATTATAGTATTTTTGACAAATTATTCTTTAAAAATCCTTTTGTGGATTCATTGAATCGGAGATATCAAGCATCATTGTCACTGGTAAGATAGATATGAAGTGAAATATCAAGAATGTCTGGTGTCAGTACTATCGGTACTAATAATTCCCAAAATGAATTATAGTCTTCATAATTAGAATGCGTGCCAGTGCACATCGTCGACTTCCAAGACTTTTATTTACTGAATATCTTTGTACTAGTGTGTACATTGAATATTCTTTAAGTCATTAGCATACAGCGAGTATTTCAGGAGATGTTTCCGAGAACACAAGCATCCCGGCATTTGATCCTTCATCACCTTCGCATAGTATGTACTCCAAATCAATTTTTTTAAATACAAAATACAAAATGCTGACATCCTGAAACAAACAACAATAAGATAAATCCTCAAATGGTCGTCAAATACTATAAAACTCTTGAGAACCATCGCACCAGGTCACCAACTGGCCAGGTACTCCTTCAGAGTCTCTCCTTAAGATGTCGAAAGGTCTGAAGGACGTACTCCAACGTATTCATGTACTCTCTGAAGATGATCCAGTCCCTGGGGCTGATGGAAGTGGCATCCTTGTCACGTCTGTATTCATCTTTCATGACGTCACGTTGAACATTGTACTGGATCGGGATGCTTTTCTCGCACATCGTGTTCTGTAGCTCGCACAGAACGCTCCTAAGTTGTTGTTCCATCACGCGGAACTCGTTGATGAAGTCACCGTTGCGGTCCTCCTGGTCCCAGGTCATCTGCTCCAGACCTACCGCGATGGTCTGCAGATATCTGTATACGTTTAGTAACGTGTCATCCAGCTGCAAAGAAAGGAAAAGGATTTTTAAAATATAGCCTTTGAAAATACTATACCAGAAAATGTCACACGATCAGTATTTGCTGTGATCCGTCAGTATTTGTAATGATATTTATCGGCCGTGTAGTTTGGCCGTCAGTAACTACTGACATACAAGATTATGTGAGGATCGACTGACACTGAAAGAATATCGGTAAATACTCATGGTATGGACCAGAGTAAATACTGATAGTGTGATATTCACCAGTGAGGTGCTAGCATGGAATGTATATGGGTATACTACATTTTTTTGGTAACGTATTAAAAAATTATAGTGCAGCTTTGAAATTAAGATCACTCCATTTTTATAGTAGATTAGAACAGAAAACTGTTTTTATCATTTTTGTTTTCAAAAAATCTTTGTTTCTCCTGAAAATGAGTTTACTGCAAAATGACCAGAAGAAAAGAACAAGAATACTCCTTGAAACAGACTGTCAAAAAAGGAAAGCGCGACCCTAATAAAGGTGTCAGGTCGTGATGAAGTACATTGAAAAATAGATTATATTGGTTGTGCCCCTAGAATCTTACTAACGTCTTATTAAGCAACTTATGCTGCTCTCAATCTACTTGATGTACTTAGGTTTTTGCAATATTTAGTCTTCATTCCAGAGAAACAGTTGTATAAAGGTACTTGTAGGCAATAAAATGAGACCCCGCCTAAGGTTCGTTGATATGTAAATACTAACCACTAAATTTTTCAAGTACTCCTGGTCCAGTTCTTCTCCTAGTTTTTTAGGCAGCAACTCTAACCACTCGATCTTTTGATCTTCCATCATCTTATGCAGCGAGGTAGAATTTTTGTTAAAGGTTCTTTGAGCCTGGAATAAAGAGAAAAACTGTTTAGTTCACGTAAATTTGGTATCATGACTGGTGAAAGAGTTGTGTTTCAACACTTCAACGTCCATTTACTAAAAAACCTGCTTCAATATGTAACATTATCTCCGAAACCGAATCTTGGCTAACTAATTTCCAGTAACACAAGCTTTCGTTCTGAATATTCGGATATCACCACGAGTTTTGAAGCGAATAAATAAAACCATAATCTAGCTTTCGTTCTATACAACATTGAGCGAATATCTCGGCAATGGCAACCTGTTGAGGTGGCACAGCGACGCGTGTTGGCGTCTAGCGGTCTGGGGTCGGGCAATCGAGCAGGCGGCAAGCAAGGCCGGCTTTGACTTTCCTATCTGCCACAACACGATGCGATTATCGTTCACTCGCACACGTAGAATCGATTGGAACCTTAAATCGATGGTCGAACTCGATCAATGACCCAGTCATTTCGGCACGACACCAGCGAAGGTCGAGAACCGATTTTCTGGTAACAGGACTGGGTGAAAAGCTTATAGTTCGGGATTCTTCATTCCATGAAATTTGCATATGTGGGAACCAATTTGCATCCGTACAGGGTGGACTCAACTCGCGACATCCGTAAGGGAAATCAATGAATCCTGGTATTGGTGTCTGGGGGCCTGTTGTCTGCCACGAAGTAATGTACGTTTCTACTTTTGGTCACATTCATAGACGTTCCTCAAAGACGTGCTGATTTTTCCTTGTATTTTAGACTATCAATAAAGCTTTCTTGAGGAACGCGGAAGGGAGGATTTAATATTTGCATTAAGTACTAGGCACACCAGCAACTTGGTTTTTTGACATTTTCAAATTTCCAAAACTGTCAAAAGTTTTAAGAATTTTGAGAAAATTTAAAATTTTCAGAACTTTGAAGATTTTCTGAATTTTCAAAATATTCAATATAATCCAAACATAGAAGGTTTTAACATTTCGATAAATTTAAGAATGTAAAAAAGTTTGAAAATGAAAGTTATGAAAATCTGTAAAATTCTCCAAATTTTAAAAACCTGTAATTACAACACTGTAACTTATTGAGAAATGCCTATGTTAAGTCAGATGAGGAACCATTCCTTAAGCGGCACACAATCATCAAGGAACGTCTATAAATGTAAAGCCAGTGTAGTATCTGTAGAGCTATTTCGTAATCCTTTACACATTATGTATTTCGTCACAAATATATGAAGAAACGACTTCCTCTAAAATACATTGTGATTTCTTCTACTATTATTATTATTTCTACTTCCTTTCAAGTGTGGCTAGGCTATATTGCTATTGCTATAATAATTGCGAGCGTGTCTCATAACTATAACTAAATGGCACATCGTCTCTAGTTAATTCCGTATTGCTTATGAACTGCTTATGTCCAACACTTTAGCGTTCAGCAGTTATTTAAAATTAATTATTCAACGGCTATAGAACAAGTCGCGTAAATGATTACTAGTTTTATTGGATAATAATTGCTAGTGTGATTAGGTATTAACTAACATTAGAATAAGCTCAATAGATATGTTCACGTTACCAGAATGTGATGCAGTTGTGGCTAAATCTTTGTTGGCATGCAATTATTACTATTCTCAGTAACGCTTTGAGAATTTTTTAGGAGCTTCCTAGGCCTGTTAGATGGACCCACCACATTGCATTTTCTAACTTCAACTCATCATGTGAGACCGTTGGAAACAGTAGTGTGCTCTAGACTCATATCAATGTATCCTTACAAACTAGTTGAATCATTAGCGGCAAATCCCTTCAAGTACTGTATTCTTAAGCAGTAGTGGAAGATATGTCCCTACCAGGTCAAAAAAGGCACTTCCGGCTAACAAAGAAATATATCCAATCAACAGGTCTTCTAGCTCGCACTTAACTTTTTATACGAGTAGTAGCAACGAAGTGGAACTGGGTAGAAAGAGCTAGTATGCGATTCGTTCTGATACGCAAAATCGTAGTCAGTGTCTTAAGCCACACTTCGCATTAGATTTGTATCTAAACGTATAAAAGTGAGTGGATTTCCTACAGTTCGTGCTCCAGATAATTGCAAAAACGGTGAAGGTTTTTGTGGGCTACAAAAAGCAGTTTAGGCTGAGTAAAAACAGATTTTTTATCGTTAATTTGGAATAGTCATCGGCGTTGCGAAAGGGATGTAGCTTAACGTTGGGATACCAAGTCAGTTGTGAGACAGTCTTAGTTTGTTTTATTCCAGTTAGTTTTCTTTCAGTGCTGAACTGCTGAATCTCAAATTTTGGTTTGAGAATTAAGTTTGAATTATTCATATATCATATAAATATTTCCTTTCGCTTTTTCGGCTTTATCGATGTTTTAACAATAACTGACTACAAGAGTACATCCAGTACAATTGTCAACTGAAATGTCCTTTTCAAAGAAAAGTCGAAGTATTGGTTTGTCACTTTGGTAGGCATTGGAAGGCGAATCTACCCAAAAGTATGCACCAAATCTATGTAATTTTGGCGTAAATACTGTTTTATAAACGTAGGAACTTGGCTCCTACCTAGAGTAGTAGCGATTTAGGGCTCGCTTTCGAGCATAAATGGAGTTCAACATATTATAGTCGTGGAGGAACCAGTGAAGCGAGAGTGTAACGATATATCGTTATGTCTTTATTCCGTTGACATCCTTTATCCTGGTTCACGCATCGTTTTAACATCCACGCAACATCCTGTCGTCTAGTCTGAGCTGAGGACTTCGGTATTTTCTTTTTCGGATAATTGGCATCTATTGTCACCGGAGGAAGCACCTCACGCTCCCCAGGAATTGCACCAACTTCCTCTTCAATAAAAATCGGTAGTCTGTACTTACTTGCATGGGCGTGCAATTTCGTATTACCAGAAAGGCAATAAAGAAAAGAAAATTTATCAAATGTAGTAAAACTCTATGAAAACGTTTCCAGGACGGTATCATTTAAAACTGCAATTTAAAAATTGATTACATCCATTTTTAGTCTCGTAGTTAGTCCTCGTTCGTTTCGCTCACGAGGTGGAAAAAACGTATTTGAAACTAAAACTCTTTTATTTCTTCTAAGAAATTAAGAGAATATTTAATCTTTTGATTGTACATTGCTGTGTATCTATGGGATAGGAACATTTTGCTATGTGAGTGTTCAATAGCTAATTGAACAACAGATGATGCAGGAGGAGCCCGCAGAAGATGGCTGTCATGGATGCCTAAGGTGTTAACACTATTGAATTTCACAGGCCCATAAAATGGAAACGTGGTGTGTGCTTGTGGTCTGATTATGCTTTTCCCATGTATTATTTCATGCTGAACATGAATCTGAAGTCAAAATGTGGCGCTGGTGTATAGATTTTATATAAAACGCATAAAAATGATCCAAAGGTGCAAAAAAAAACAAAAGTGATATGTGCTGGGGGTCTCACTATATTTTTTCCATGGACCTTTCGCTCTGAATACGAATCTGCAGTCAAAGTTGGAGGAAGATCGACAAATATGAAGTTAATGTTGACATGGAAGTAAATTTTTGTATCTTCGGAGGCCTCTGAGAGATGCTCATCCACCAAAAATACCAAAATGTGTGATCTCAATGTCTCAATTACGTTTTCATTCGTTCACAACTTTGGCTTCAGATTTGTGTGCAGCAAAAAAAAGTACACGGGAAAACATATTAGCACCAGAAGTACATACCTCTTTTATTTTGTGGGCCTGTGTTATAAATGCAAGTACATTATAACAATAATCTGCACATTGAGTATACGTTAATAGCAGCAAATTAACTGCTAATAGAAAACTAGAATTTTGTACGTGTTATACCAGTAACAATGTTTTTTGAGTCTTTAAGTAGAAGTCTTTTGCCACTTATCGGATTCTCTCAAAATTGAGGGCTAATAAAATAAAACATTTCTCTTGTTTTAGATACTTCAGACTAACGATAAAGAACTTTCAAATTCAGAATCAATTGGAAGCGATGAAAACATGCTGATAATAGTAGGCGCGAATGTGGTTGAATAGTGTCGTTTCCTGTAAAGAAATTACCACTTATGATGGCCACGGATAGTTTTTAAAGGTATACAAGGGTGCCTTATTTCTAGTGTACTAATAATCCGTTATAATTGCACGATGCGCTCGAAGTTATTACGTCACGTTTTTGGCGATAGATTTTACGTTTGGCTTAACCACGTTCCTCGAATAAAAAGAAGACTCTAGAAATGTATGCTCTTAAGAAGAAGCATAACATTCCCTCAAATTTTGTGAAGTATTTCTGCTGATAAACCAGTGCAGTCAAGCGGTAGACTTGACAGTGCAAAAAATGTAAGCCATCTAGGATTATAGTTACTAGAAGATGTGATGGAATACGACAAATAAGTGAGTTTAGGATAGTGTGCTTACACGAAATGTGATGAAATACTACAAATATGTGAGTTAAAATATATCTAAACAGGTTCGATGGGCAGACTCCGAACACCACAGCATCATGGAGAAGAGCTCGTGAAGGAATTCATCTGGCATATCGGTAGAAAATATAGCAACTTACCTGAAAATATGTGAAGAGAGGCCAGAGGGTCAAAGACCAAAGTGTGCCTCAGAAGTTACATAATTTTCAGAATCCAATCAATAGCTAGAGGGCGCCCATGGAGACAATAGTTTTTATTGTTACTTTTATTAATGGCAGAGGAAAGCGACACATTTAGCCGGATGTAACGAAGACGAAGCAAGTTATTTATATCCGATAGAAGAGGACGGCAGTACAGGTGGTATTCAATTAAAGAATGGGACGAAAAATATGATAGTGTGTAATCAGACATCAGCGGACGGCATAATACGGCGGTCGCCAGGAATATTAATTCCGATGGACTCGCATCGGGCGGTTTAGCAGGCTCCAGAGACAGTTACTTAATGAAAATGTTCGCTTGATTAACGTTCGGACATTGAAACGTACGCAAAACGGCCATTCTGTGATACATCTAGTATCCAATACGACCTTTGCTAGAAGTTTTCGACCGTAATGTCCACGTCAGTAAGTGAAGAACTAATAATCGCAAAAAATGCACTAGGTCTTTCCCACTTTGTGCGTTGTTTGCAAGTAATTTTGGAAGAGACAAAATTGTAGACTCTTTTATCAACTTTCCAATTTCTCTAGAGATCCGTAGCAAATTTTTTTGGGTCAAGTCAGTCACGCACCAGTTAGGTTTTACCGAGTCAAATTATTACTTGAACCTAAAGATGCTTCCGAGATAACATGACCAACTATTGATAACAGGCATTCCTTGGTTGGTGTATTGTGAACATATATGTGACTTCCACATGCAGTAGTTCTCACTTTTTTTTACTCGACAGAAATTATATTTAATGGTGTTTGGCACATTCTGTTGAGCCTTAAGTATTATGAATGAAAATAGCTACCAGAACAATGACATCTACAATGTTACTACTACTATTTCCATGTAATCTGTGCCAAGTCAGGTTATAGCTATTTAGAATATAAATTATGTAGCATGCAAAGAATTCACCTGCTTTTGCCAAAACTTGGCGTGTGCCGTGTTCCTACTGATATGTAAACTTTTCTGATGACTGAACGGAAAACTATGTTTTGTTAATTTCTTAACAACATTATATTTATATGGTATCGGTTATATTGTGAATCAGATCACTAGATTCTTTTTATAAATACGTCTGACTTGTAGCCTTCATGCCAACCTCCAGACATTCTAAATTATTTTAGGATTTGCTGCAAAATTTTTGTTTTCAAAATACATAAAACTATCATTATTCCGCGATTTCTTCGTGTTTATTTTGCATGACTCGTCATAGAGCTTCAGGATTGTGAAAGTTTCCGGAACTTGGGTTATCTGTGGAATTTTCTTGACTAGTTGGACTGCCGTCCCTAACTTTGGCTTCCTCATAATCCTAGTTACAACTTGACCTTTGATCAAAATACAAAAATTGTAAAATGTGGAAAACGTACTTCGAAATTAGCCGCTCAAGTGATACAATATAAAACATGAATTGGAAACGGAATTGTTTGACTAAAGTATGTCAACTTTTCCCAGAAAGTCTATCTAACAGATTCCAGCATTTCTCCGAATACCACACATTGTATTCCAAAGGATGACAAACTGCCCAAAGTTCCCCATTCAGCATCTGTTGGATTTCGTGCCAAAACACGAAATTCCTCACTTCACTGGAGAGGAAATCACCTGACGATATCGTATTCCGGCCACAGGTGGTTGTGAGAAAACACCATATCACTGATGCTCAATTGTTTTATCGTCATATCCTGGCATTATCAGGCATTCCTCTGTGTGAATTGCGGTATTCGCTTATTCATCACAACCGACGCTACTGAGATCTTTATTCATGGGTATTTTGAATCCCCATCGTTCCGGCTGAATTATAATAAATAACCTACCTATTCTTTAGGTTATCACGATTATCAAAAAAGTAAATGTATCAAAATGTTGCCAGGGGGAAACAGTCCCACAAGTAAAACACCTCATAATAGGTGAAGTTATATGTATTTTAGGATGTTCGATTATTTCAAGGGGGTTTAAGGAGATCTGTGTCTTTTTCAAGACAATCTATACTACAATTTCTTTCTCAGTTGTTTCTAGATGTTAGTTTCTTCAATTCAGGTCATAATCAAAAACAATAGATGGGTCTTTTTTATAACAAATTCCGCCTCTATAACATCTCGGAGGTACAAACATTCGATTCAAATATCTTCTATCAGTTCCTGGCTTAATCTTCAAGGCTATTGTGAATATCGATTTTCATCAACGAGAGGGCAACAATACAAGTATCTAATTCCGCCACTTGAAATGATTTGTTATTCATTGAATTAATCAAAATAATGACCTCATTGCCAAAAAATGTATTATCAAGTTAACAGATATCTGATAAACCAGTATGTACCTGTTCATAATATCTGAACGGTGAATTTTAAAATTGATTATGTCACGTGTGAAATTTTGCAAGCAATAACTGATAAAAACTGTTCTATCCTAAAAAGTTATATAAATTTGAAGTATTACGCAAACTACTTAGACAGCCTATTATTGAAATCAGGAATAATAGCTCAGTGACTCTTGTAGATCAATATTTCTATAAACTAAAGGTAACTGAAAAAATGTATGTAACTGGAGATAATTTAACTTTTGGTTCATGGCAATTTTTCTCTTGTAATATATAGTTTAAGGCGTTTGACAATACGTAAAATCTTCCATATTCATTAATATTCAGAAATAGCAATCCGAAGACACGAGACTGTTTTAATTAATCAAACAAGAAATTGGTACGGACGTCTTAACTAATTTATTAACATAATTTTGCCCTATGTATTTAGTGACAGGCACACTTCTACAAGCAAAGTAATTAAAACATTAAGCTTTGTTTCAGTATCGGGAAGTTGTTACATACGAATTTCAAACGACCGTATACGCAGGCTACTTATTATTGGCTACTTTCTGGGAATTCATAAAAAACGACATCGTTACTTTGTGGTACCTTTTTGAAACGTCTTATTTCGGGATTTGTTATGTGGTTTATTTTAAAGTCTCACTTTACAGCACGAATGGGTATGTGACGTTTCTATCAAACCGAACACACAGATAGAAACAGAAAAGAATGTAACAGGAAATGAATAGAGTAAAGAGGTGCCAAACTATCTTATCTCTTCATATTTGCTAGAAAATTTTGACTTCCTTCCCGCCCCCTCACACTCCATGAAAGACTTTTCCGAAAAATGTTTAAAATGGGATGGAATCAAAACAATAGCAAGCTGAATCGAGTAGTAGTAAGTGTAGTCGAGATTAAACTAACTAAACTGACAACTAGAGCCCCAAATTAATCGAAATGGCGTCGAATTGACCAATTTTTTTACCCGACAGCAATTTCCTTTAATACCAAGATTACCACATTTCAAGGACGGCGAGTTTTCTTTATCTTTTATGTTTTTTGGTGATAATTTCATCAAACGATCAAATCCTTTAATTGCATTTTCAAAAAATACGAAACATCAATTTTTGATGCAAAGAAATACCAAACCTTGCTGCCTTATCATGCCAGTGAACCCATATGGAACTTCCATTCTCGCAACCCCAACATCTATTCTCCCACTCAATCACGAAGAAAAACTAAAATTTATTTTTGTGGGTTGTATCACCGGGTCATAATGACAGCTTCTCTAGCCAAACTAAACTATTGAAATATGCTTCTCCGTCTTCAATCTATTGGCACAAAAAATACGAGCCCAGACCCTCGGCTTGTAGAGAGCACCCAAATGCCCAAAAATCAACCGAAACTGTTAACAAAAATGTCTAATTACCACCACCCCCTGCACTTCATTTTTTCCAAGCGGTAAAGTCCGGATTTCGCCCTGCCCTGGGGCTGACGCTAATAGTCGCCACATCAGCCTTATGACAGAGGCTAAATACTAGAGTATTGTGAACGACTTTTTTTAAAATGCTTTTTAAATTGGATCTATGAAACTGAAGAAAGCTTTTTTCTGGCAGATATAATCAGACAATCCAACAGCTGCTGCAACTGATGAGATGGGTTCGTGGCTTTAGGTTTATACGGGCTAATGTTATATAAAGACCTTGAAGGGATCTGCTAAATGTTTGCTTTGCTGTGGTAGTATTCTAGAAGCTAGTGCCACCTTTCCCATACAAGGGTAAGTCAATGGACCAAACCTCGGCTCCATCCGGACGTTATCGAGTTTTTATTATTTGTGAAATTTCAAAAATCTGTTGATACGTTGTGGAGCCTTAAGATACGATTGAGGTATGGATGACCTTGAAATTTGCAGTTTTTTTAATTTCTTTTACCTGATAAATGGTATTGTTTTGACTTAAAAATGCTATCTCAAAACATCAAAAATGTTACTTTGGGTTCTGTAAATAACATTGCCATAGGAAGTGTATAGAGGTACGACAAAAAGTGTACAGACACAACAAACTCAACAATCAAATGTTTAGCTGTACAGTAAATTTTCGGAAAGGGAATAATATTTACTTCTTACATATAACCGTTTCCACGAGTAGCAGCTGTCACTTTATTTTAGAATTTCCTCTACTTTCAGTCGCGGCGCGCTGGTAGCGCTAGTGAATTTGAGCGCTAGTGAGGCTAAGGGACACAAACTGTTATCAGATTTTCAGTATTTACATCAAAAATATACATTTATATCTGCCACATAATAGGGTCATTAAAGTGTTCAGTTTACATTTTACTGAGTAGCTCAAAACACTGATTGCTTCTCTGAAACCATGAATATAACTATTAAGAAATCAAAACGAGTGAATTTCGTAGTCATTCGCATCTCAATCGTTTTTTCGTACACCACAAAGACCGTTTCAACAGTTTTCTTTAATTTTTCTCGCAGTAATAAAAATTTAATAAGACGCGAATCGTCCCCTAACCTATAAGACATTTAGCTAGCACTACTCATGTCCTCCGAATGAAAGCCCGAAGGTATCTTACGTAAACACTTGAGACAGAAATGCAATTTTGAGTAAACTTACATAAGTTTCTTTAAACTCCTTCGCCCAGTTTAGGGCCACCCCGGTCTGCGTGACGATCTGCGTGACCAGGTCCTTGTCTGACACCGTGGACGCCCCCGCGCCATGCTCAGGGTCCGAGCAGTTATTCGGATACCCACAGGGGTTGATCCACTTGGGCTGCTGCTCGTGCCGCTGTCTTTGGCCGTTGCTCTGCATCCTTATTGAAGATGGCGCTGAATTCGTCGGCGGTAGGCTCACTAATATTAGGTATACGCTCACTAATAGGACGTTCTTGAGACCTACAATGCGAGAAGGAACTAGTGTTAATGTCAAAATGATTGAAGTGTTATTTTGAGTTAAGGTGGAATAAGGGAGGTTTTCTATATCGCATTCTAAGATATACCATAAGCATTTCTGAGCAATATTTTTTTACTGAGGCAAATGCGATGTTTTTTATTACGGTTTTTATTTAAGAGCTTTCTCCATATAGTATCAAAATGTAATGTTGTGCTAAAGATTTACGTGTCGTGCCATAAGTTCTGTCCCATGATAATCTCATGATAAAAATGAAACAAGATAAGATATATTTATATGAAAGATATTATTTATTCGACAACATTTTTAGAATTCATAATCAAACAGTTTTATTCAAAATGTCCCCCCTTGGCCTTCACACACTGCTTCAATCTCGCGGGCCACTCATCTATCACTGCACGCACAGCTTCCAAAGGAATAGCTGCCGCTGATCGGATCAAATCCGCTTTCAGGGACTCGATATTACGGTGGGCTTTGGAGCAGGCCAACTGCTCTAGCAGGTCCCACAACTTGTAGTCTAAAGGATTGAGGTCCGGACTCCCTGAGGGCCAATCTTCCGCAGCAATGAACTCTGGCACATTGCTTTCCAGCCAGCGCTGCGTACTCTTAGCCTTGTGAGCGGGGGCGGAATCCTGCTGGTAGACCCAGTGTGGGTTGGCAAACAATGTACCACTTAAAGGCTTGACGATAGGATCCAGTATGTCGCTCTGATAGTTTGCCGCTTTTGTTTTCACGCCCTGTTTACAGAAATGGAGCTGAGTGACCCCTTCGTAGGACACCCCCCACCAAACCATGACTGACGCAGGGTGGTGGCCTCTCTCAACTCTCGGAATGATCTCCGAAGCTTCCTGTGAACTCCTTGCATACACTTTGTCATTTTGTCGGTTGAATTTTTCTTCTATGGTGAAGATTTTCTCATCCGTGAACAAAATCTTTCGGAATCCCCCAGCTGCGTACCTCTCCAAGAGCTTCTTGGATCTTGTCGCCCTGATGTGTCGCAAGGTGGCCGTAAGTCGCTGGCCCGTACGTCTCCGGTAAGCCCCTAGCCCTAGGTCTTGTTTAATGATGCGCGACATCGTCCGGACAGGAATCTTCATTTCCCTGGATAGGATCTTCTGCTTCCGGAGTGGATTCCTTTGAATCCTGGCTTTTACGGCTTTGATGGCTGCTGGAGTCCTTACTTGACGAGGTCTTCCGCTTCTTGGCCTGTCGTCAACAGAGGACGTCTCATTGTACCGCTGAATGGTCCTAGACACAAATTTACGCGATATTTGAAGGCCGCGTAAGAGTTCAAAAATCTGACTAGCACTGTGATTACACTTATGTAAAGCTATCACTGCAATACGGTTCTCTGCCTTGCCCCACTCCATCGTTATGCTTCGAGAGATCAATACAAACTGAGGTATATGTAATTACCCGAAAAGCGCTTAATCAACTGACACCACAATGTAAACAATCGGACAAGTATTAACAGGTCTACACTTGTTTGAAAACGAGGGACAGAACTTATGGCATGACTACGTATATAGGACTCCTAGTATATTATAGTGCCTAAAAGCCTAAGAGTCACCCAAATATTTCAATACAGAAAAAAGATAATGAAAAATTTGGTTTTTTGTTGAAAGCATCGGAGCTTAGACTTTTAAAGAACAAGTAAGGCTGATCAAGCAGCCGATCTCCTGACATCTATAAGAGCTTAATAATAGTTGTCCATTACCTCAAACATACTGTCATATCGTAAGTGACGTGCTACTTTATGGCTTCGAAGACGTTTCGTTTCGAGAAGGTTTCAACTCCTGTTTATTTATTAAAATCATTGTTAGGTTAATAAAAAGTATCTTAGTATCATTCCTACGCAAAAGAAGAAGCAATATTCCCAATAACTACCGTTATGCGAGAAGGGGCTATAACCTATTTTATATTGTTAGTCTTAGACTCATGATAATTTGACGTATCACTGGAAGCAATTATTTTGGAAAGCTCGTTCATGATATTATGTTTAATTTTGCACGCTTCTATTTGTCTTCAATGAAATGTCCAGCTCCATCGAGACCCATCGTACGTCTGGTCAGAAAAATAATAAAAAGGAATTACAAAATAATTCAAATTAGGGTAACCTGTAAGCGCATATATCCACCTATTCGTGTGACAAAAGCAAGTTGCCGTCGGCCAACGTTAAACAGGTCGTTAAAATCGTAAAAAGTCTTGTAGCATTTTTATATTTGAGCCGGTCGGTGCAGGCAGCTATTTGGAGATGGCAGCCAACGACACAAGCTATATAAATATACAAGATTGTGGACACATAATACGAGAAAACCGTGAGAATTTCTCGGAGTCGGCTACTCACCTACTTGACCCCGCAACCGAAGGTGACAGCGACGCCGAAATAGCGGTTACTTCTTTCGGTTGATGGTTTTGATGCGATTGTGTCTTCAAGATCAGATTCGCAATAGCAAGTTCAAGTTGAATGTATTTGTAACGTATTCAACTGATTGTAATCCTTAAGATGGTGACAGAAAACCTACACTGTGAAACTGTATTAGTGTTCCAAGTTCCGCAACTGTGTCGCCTGAATCGCGGAATATTAATTTTTATTTTATTTTATTTAAACAGAACAAAAAGCGTATCTTGCTTGTAAAATCGTCACTCATATAGATCTTAGGCCGCGATTCGACGGGGAAGGGGGGATGGGCGTTCCCTTTGACGTATCCCACATCATGTTCCTTTCAATTGTCGCAGGGTCATTAGCTCTCAAACAAGTTACAAGTTGCTGAAATACGTAGCTAACGATACCCCCTCCCTAGAGGAACATTGCCCTGAACATTGATCCTACGAAACCTATATACTGCGCGCAACTCCTCCCCCCAGTAGAGAGATTTTGAAATCTATAATATAACAAATCAATAATTCAAGCTACAAAATTGTTGCTATACTATAAAACCCATCAAGCCTCAAAACTCTACATTGACTGAATTTCTGCCTATACCACTAAACTCTACCAACTATCTTATATAATCGAAATAATCGAAACTTCAAATATCTACTGAAACTAAAGTTGTAGATTGGGTGTGTTTCTCTCACTTGAATAGATGTTTTGAATTTTCCTGAAATATCCACGAGCATCCTATTATGGAACAGTAGCTTTTTTTGTAAAAAAGATACCAATTCATTATGTTGCCTCAAATTTTAATAGTCTATAAAATTTCCAAATTTAGTATCATAGGGATTTATAGTACAAGTTCAAATGCCTCCAAGTTGCAGCGAGACGGTCACGAATCAAAATGACATTCATTTTTCCTCAAGGAACATCTGACGTATTATATTCATTACTGGTTTTAATGAAGGTCTTTCATATTTACGAATGTGAGCGTTTTTGGAACTAGAGCAGTTGTCCGTAAAATCATTGGTTTATCTTTGTACCCGCACAGGCATGTAAGCAGAACTGCTCTAAAGGGGTGGCCGTGGTGGCCAGTTTCTGGATGGATTCATTTTAAAGAAGTGTCCGGAGGTACAAATTCTGTTGATAAGCTGGATGTGTTTTATTATCATTACCAATCAACATATTCACACTTTGCAAATTGCCGATTTCGATAATTGATCTCCCCAAGCCGTCTTCTAACCTTGTAGCTAGCGAATATATCCAGTATGCTATCGACTATCTTTTTTCAGTTGATTGTTTTGCTGCGCGTCCGTTAACCTTTCTTGATGACAGTTGAATGTCGTTTGAACAATAAGCCTCAATTATCCTAATTTCAAAAAATTTACAGCCCAATGAACTCCGAAGCATTAAGAATCTCCAACGGTAATTAACCGTCTTTCGATGTAACTTTTTTTTGAAAAAACTGTAATTGAATTAACCTAGCCTTTGTGGTACCGTCTTGAAAATTATTTTTATTTGATAGAATGTCGGTCGGTACACCTGTGCGTTTTTCCGACGATTATAATTTTATAAAAATGCGGTAAATAGTTAACAATGATACATAAAACTTAAACGGCCTACAATTAGTGATCATTATCAGCTATTAGCCAGCCTCATAGTTCATTCTAGACAACAAATAGATCAGGTTGCCCACACCTGGCTGACAAGCCTCCGATCTTTATGTACTGTTCTCCAGCGATTTAGACGTCGTAGGAATGTAGCGTCATTGCATCGGAGGAATGTCAACTGTCAACGTTTAGGATTGAGCGGATGCACCACGCAAATCTTAATCTCGGCCGCCTTGACTGAGGCAACCGTCCGCGTTTATGGTACTTCTACACTCGGAAATGTCAAAATTATCATGTAGTGAGTTCAGCCGATGCTTAATAGTCTTCCTAAAATATATTCGTGGTTAGATTAACTGCAATATAGGATGATGTTCAAATTTGGCGTCGTAATATGTACGAGCGGGAAGCGTGCAATATGTTAGAAAGAGTGCGCCGATGGCATTTGTGACCTAGTACTCGGGTTGCTGCCTCTATCTCTTTCTAACACACGTATTGAACGTTTCACGCGCATCTCTCTCGTACGCATTACGACGTCAGTTATATTTGGTTTTCAGTGTATATTACATAATAAGCGGACAAATTATTTGGTAAAAACGTATAAACAGGGTTACTGAATGAGAATATGGATCGTGCCAGGAAAATGTGTTCAGCTTCAATTTTTTATTTTCGAAAAGTTGATTTAGAATCATTTGTTATTATATTCAAGTTATTTTATCGCTTAGAAAAAGAACCTTAGTCCGTTTTTTAGCACTAAAACACACAGATTATTTTTGATCTCCAACATCGGGCAAAGAATTTTCAGGTGCTTGCAATAAAACCGCTAAAAATCAATTTACTATTTACCCTGATCACTTCTATTTACACGACACTGACGTCAAACGCTGTTACGAATATTTGCTCTGTAACGTAGCATAAAAGTACAATAAAGTCCAGTTCAAAATATCTCAGATTTTTGTTCTTATTGTAGTTTTAGAAAAAAATGTTTTTTTTAAAAAGATGTTTTTCAGAAAAATCTATTCTGCAGCACAAGTCTTAAATCATCATTTTCCAGGCACGCTATGGAATGGCTCCATTGTATAACAATAATTGCAGAAAAAGATTGAATTAAGAACAATGTTTATGTTATTTTACTATCATGCCACTACAATTACTTTAGTAGATACAAAATAAGCACCAGTCGACAGTAGAACAAGTCATCAAATAAGTTGTCCTTTTACAGTTTCTCCCATTTTAATGTGTCTCTTAGACTATCTAGATTTATGAAGAAATCGACATTTATTAATTTGCATCGATACGTGGTGGACTGTGTACAGAATGCCAGGAACCAGCGTCAAAAAATAATAATTGGCGGTGGTGGTCTCATTTATTAGATACCTAATGAAATTTGTAACCAGCCTCGATGGCCTGCATTACAGATACGACGTTGATATGTATTTTATACGTCACCTTATTTGAATGTCCAAGAAGCTCTATAACGTTTCGAATCTGCATCTGTTGGGTGCCCACCGTGGAGTCTCACCATGGTGACTAATATTGAACATGCAATTGAAGTTAGTCACCAGACGGAAATATGATATGAAATTAATGAATGAAAATCCCACTACAATTTCAATGCTATATCGTAACTATTTGGTTTTACTATAATGATATCAGGATTTAATGTAGGTATAAGATACTGATTAGCGATTAACAAATGAGGTTAGGCAGTCTATGTTATTATCATGCTAGACTTGTTAATAATATTTCAGTAGTAACCACCAGAACCACTAATAGGTTAGATATCAATAATTTATATGCAAAATGCATTAAAAAGGTAACGTAAAGTTGGGTAGTTCGTTCCATTTGGCATATTTTATACAACAACTCGTATATTACTTATTTGAATTGAATCATATTCTAAAGTGAGATTGATTCAAATGTTTTTATTAAAATGCATATCAAAAAACTTACTTATGTAAATACCGAGATTTTAGAAAAATAATATTTTTGAGAAATGGAAACGGTACAATTTATCGAACCGGTTGCGATGACTGCATGCAGGTTATAAAAAAAGTAGACCGAAAATAGTAACTTATGTATTTTGATACAGGTGGGGTTGATTTACTTGCAAAAAAACTTACATTCGCGACGTTTTATAGGAATTAAAATAAAAATAAAATATATCTCAAAAGCAACTTTACAATGCTAGTTTAACTGAGTCTGGGTACCGTATTTCGCACAACTAGGTGTAATTGAAGGAATGTTCTTGGAGAATCGGGAAATAGAGAAAATTCTTGATTTTTTTAACAGCTCTTATGTCATAAGCACATCTAATTGAGAGACGAAAGGGTTGCTAGAATGTGAGTTTTGGAAACATACTCGTTAATCGCCCTGTACTGTAAAAAATGATTCAAGTATAAAAGTTGTAAACATTTAGGTTTCATTACTAAATCAATTCCGTCAAATATTGAAGAGTGTGAGGTTTTGCGGTTAGACCCTTACAAATATTTCTCCCTTACATATCTACTCAGACGGCACTATTCTCAGGAATAAAGAGGCAAATTCGTGGATTAAATCCAGTGCGCGGTGCATCAGTGAAATTGTGAATTCCCACAAACGGCTCGTCCGCTGCCACCATTGGCTACCTGTTGCCTCTGTGGCTCCGCCCCCCCTCGACGTTACAGATATTCCAACGGTTTGATTTAGTTGGCAGGTACGCCAGCCGACCTTATGGCTGCTGTTGCTGTTAAGTTCTGTTATCTCACCAACAAATGAGAGTTGAACAGAGAAGTCTTTCCCCCCGATCTTCGTACGTCTTTTGAAAAAAAAAACAAGTTTTCCTATCACTAGTTAATTTTCTGGCGTATATTTTGAATTGCCGCCTTACAAGACGTTTCGGATGAATAATAAATTCATTTGAGAGAAAAAGGTTCGCCTGTGGAAAGTGTGTTAAGTCAGTCAAAACAACTGGTCACATTCAAAGATATACGTACATTACATAAAACTGTGATCAAGGAAAACACTAGGGCCAGCCCACTAAAAATATCAGCTAACTCTCTTTGCGAAAAATTTTAGGCTTGTCACTCTTAATCACGTTTATTACTACTTTTTTCAATATATTTTATAGCTAATGCTTTGATTTAGAACATATGTAAAGTATGTATGGTGTTATCACTCACAAAACTGTATCTACATTTGTTACCCTACACAATTTCTTTATTTACCGCATCAAGTTCTCTTTCATGTTATGTAATACTTGGTTTCGCTATCTAGATTTTTGCTTATCTCACTCATCTAAATTGCATCCAACCTTTTGACCCTAAATAATAGCTCTCCGATTGATTTCTAATCTAATCAGTCGTATTCAATCAATCAAAAATCAAATCAATTTACTAGGAACATAGTGTTGACACACTCAGTATCATAGTCCTTTATTAAATACGGTTTGTCATTTATGTTCTTTCTCTATTTTTAGTATGATCGCAATTTTGATCATAAAATAATGTTTTAATCAAAACTGATTCCAAACAGGCTGCAAGCTAATAGCCTCGTAAATGTTAATCTGATATAATGTAGAATGATATTGTATCCATCAAAGCAATGTTGGATATATGGCAGTAAGCCAAGTCATGTCTATTTCTTGTGGTTTTATAACTTCTGTGCACATATGGATGTTACTAAGACTAATCAATGTAGTTATTATTATTTTTGATGTTTTTTCCATAAGTAATGGTGCAACTGTTACTCGTCACTGATATATATAGGAAAATAAAACTATAATAACGATAATAATCTGTTACTAACTGATAAGAGCTTAGTGAATATGAGCCCTGAGACACATGAAATTGGAGGATGCTATGTTCTCATCATAATAAATGCACGAGGAAATCTATGATGACGTATGAAATATTTCTGATAGGTTCGTAGAATCACGGGAATGGAAGCTTATAAGTATGCTCACGCCAAAAAATGAGATATATTCACCCCTGCAATCCCCAATTCTTAAACCCCACATATTTTTTCCTGAGAATGATTAGAATCCTCTGGATCGTCAACAAAAGGTTCAAGCAATTTTAATTTTTTTGTATGTAGTATATGTACTATATCTTTATCGATGGTCGAAAGCTACAAAGCATTTTCGTCCTTAGTACGAGTATACACTTCTGGAGTACCTATATGTCGATAACAGCAATATGGAACATAGCCCCAGCAGCTCAAAATGACTGAACCCCTTATATTGATGGATTTGAAAGGAGGGGAATTGCTATATATAAAAAACAACTAAACAGAACTGATAATGTTCAAAGTTGTAATAAACGATTTTCTGGGTTAGCTTGCTAGCCCATTAGTCAATGACGGTGATTCATTCATAAGCATGGTCTCTCTAAATAATTTACACTGAACTCTACTGTGATTTCGGAAAACACCGGTGGTTCATGGAATTTGGAGCCTACAAAGCTCCATATAGTATAAACGACTAATACGTATCGGTATTATGACGTAGTTTGTACAATTGCTGTATCATCGTTGGTGACATCATAGTATTCTCTAAAATATAGATAGGTAGATTGGTAAATACCACAGGTGATAAGAATCGTAAGATTTTATCATTGTATGAAAGATTGTAGGTATGCTACTTATTATCAGAGACAAGTTTTTAGGAGATTACATGACAACCGAGATGAGAATCATCATGATTGAAGTTACAAAATATTATTCATTTGACTGGAAAGTATGTGTTTCTGCATAAAATGTTTAATTTTTATAACTATGTGCCTTACAAGATGCAATTTCTAAACTCAAAGAAGTGAGTTTTTCCTATTGATTCATCCACAGGCGGTGAACGTGTTTAATTTATGATTGTAGCTTTTTGGCAAATCGGTATCAATATTTTATGACCTACTTACAATAAATTGTTAACAATAAATCTCTCTCAATAAAGTTGTAGAATATACTTTGTAAGCACCACTCCAGAGTTCATGATGAACATTGCAACCTATTGTTTTCTCAATAGGTGGAATATCACAGAAAGGTACCTATAGATATTAGTATTACCACAACGTAGTTGACGTCGGCTGTGCTATTACTTATGCCCTAGGGAGGACAGGTTACAAGTCCGGTACGCGGATCTTAACATTCAGAATAGGGAAACAAAAGTTATAAAACATTTTTGTCTGAATTTTCAAGATGAGTGCGACAGTTAGATAGGTAATAAAAACATCTAAGCAAGTTGAAAGTTTGTAAAATGTTTCATAATACATCATGACTCGCAGAAACAATCTAATGAGTCAGTGCTCATTGTGTACCGTATGAGATGATTAAAAAAGCTATAATAATTCGTAAATATATTATCGAAAACCTGTTTTATCCTGCTTCAGGTCACACCGTGGCCTTAGTTTGTAGAACTTAGTCCCGTTAATATAACCTCAAATATAGTGAGATATACGGCTTATGGGAAACCGTACTTCGCGAAGGAGTTTTTTCTGTTATGATACATTTCATCTATATGTTGTAAATTTGAAAAAACATAATCATAAGTGTAAACTTACTTCGTAACCTTCGTGCTAAGTATCCCGTATTCCCTATGAAGTACTTCACGCCGTACCGGTCTGTCCTTCTAAAACAATCACATTTGGCTAAAAGACTACATGAACTAAAAAACCCGCGACTTCCCGTCGATTTGTCACTATCACTTGTCAGATATCGCATCTTCGCGGTCCTTTGGTCCCGATCCAGCATCCCTTCTAAATGATCCATAATAGAAGAACTACGCGCCCGATCTAGAGTGCTGCCTGACCGCAGGAGATCGCTTGTCGTTTGTTTGTAAACAGACGCAGTTGCTTCGATTACACAGTCGCCTCGTCCGTCAGCCTTAAACTGGACACCAGGCATACACACTCTCTATTTAAGAAGGTGTGTCTATAGGCGGGTATTATCAATGGAGCCCCCACCACTGGCTAATCTGTCGGGATCACTTCTGAAATCCGTTTCTTTTTTTGCATCTTCCTCGTCGACGCTCGTCGTCGCTTCCTGTTTGACCCCAGTGACGTATGACGTGTGTGGTGATTGTGAGGAGCCGTTATCGGCTGGTGTGTATTATGTGACGTGCGCATAGGTATTTTGCATGTACTCACTGGGATGTGGCGGGAGACCGAGCCTAGACATCCGATACAGAATCGGATTCAGCTTCAATTTAATAATAATTCAAGTTCATTAACCAGAATTTTCTATAAAAATAATTTATAGAGAATTCGAGGATTCTACTATAACTATCTTCCAGGTGTTTAAAATTTGACTCTCACCACTGAGACTTCAGATCTGATAAGGAATACGAAGTTGATGAAATGAGAACAAAGTTGCGCATTTAGGAAACTAAGAAAATGGTACTTGGAAGGTTTCACAAGCCGAAATGTTTCCGGACAGAGACGTAAAAGACCGAATTTCCCCAAAATCGTCTTTAGGCTCTCCTGACTTTGTTTGAGGTGCCATTGTAAAATAAATTGCGCAATAACATTGGCACTCTTTCTTCTCTACAAGATGGCATAATTGGAGTTTCATTATGACATTTCATCTCTTGTCCCCAATCATCAACTTTATTTTTTCTTATGGACGCCGTATTGGATTTTACACAGGTGGATGGAGTTTTCAATTCTGATTCGAAATGTGTAATATATTATACTTTGGATGGCCAAACCTTCTTATTAAAAAAACTATCATTTCCATAGTTCGCCTTGAAAACTACATGCTAATTTTAGAGTACTCAAGTTCCCGAGAAGCTTGTTTAAAAGACTTTTAGATAATTTGCCAGTTTATCGATTACAACAAGCGTTATTTGAACACTACAGTGTCTCTCTTCGATCATCTCGTTCTTCTATTTTTACAACTGCTACTTATTTTAAAATTTTCAGTATCTCGAAGTTGTACTATTTTCAATGTTTCCGTTCTTCTTTTCCTTCATTGAATGGGTTGAGATTAACTAAAGAATACTTGTTTAGATATTTGGAGCCTTATAATATCAATCCACGTCGTACCTAATATACAGGGTGACTTTGAAGTTGAGTCATTAATTTTCAGATAATGATTGTAGTAGGAAGATAAACCAAAATATGTATGTAAAAATAAAAAAAAATTAAAAAAAATTTTTTACCTTGTTTTATAAAGTATCCTCCCGACAAGTATTTCAGTGCGGACCTGTATTTGATCGTGAGGTCTTGGAGCACCGGCATGCAGTCCCCTGTGAGGTCTTAAGTCACCTGATTCACGAGCCCGTTGTACTACATTAACAAAGACACGAGGGGTTGGTTGCACTCGATTGGGAAACCGATCCGCATAAATATGTGCCATTTTTTATTTCGTTTGAGCCACGCAGCAAGCACCACTATTCACTCACGCGTTACCGACTGACACAGACTGAATAAAAACATCGTGATCAGCGTTTCAAATTCTTTCGCTTTTTTGTTTCCGATGCGATGAACCGTTGTCGCCAAACACGAGCACATAATATTATTATTGAGACAGGGCGGTACTCAAACTTCTAAAGGGCTATAACTTTGTTACTTTAATTTTACCACAAAAATGTTAAAGGAAAAAAACATTTCTTTTGATCAGATCTACTCACTGTTAAAATAAATGACTCAACTTCGAAATCATCCTGTATATGTACAATATCACATCATTAAAACTGTTTAACCCTTTAACTGTTGGTGGTCCCATTGAGGACCACCTCTGTTAGGTATCAATTTCGCGTAACCGGTGCGCTAAAAATGAGCCTTGCTGACAGAACGATATGTGTGGATTAGTCGGTGGTATTTTAGAGGACCACTACTGGTGGCTGAATACGTGATCAGCGCGCGCAACTATTATGTGGTCCCTTATCGGACCACCTTGCATAACGAGAAAGCATAAAAACTGTTTTCGCGCGAAGTGTTACATTGTGTTATTTTTTTCTGACTTACTGGTGATCACGATAAAAAATATTATAAGAATTGTCATCTGCACTGTTGTAAAGGTGAATAAATTAATGTTCGAGTAAAAAGTATCAGATAAATCAATAACTTTTGTCATATAAAGGTAAGTACCACACTTCTAACCTCAAAAAGATAAATTTTGAATTTTAATTTTACATCTATATGCGACATCTTCGTTTGTAGTTACATGCGTATGTTATTCAATATATGCTACTGATACTCAATACAAAGAGTGATTTTGAAATTTTATTCGGCTTACGAGTTATCGGAATTTGAATCTGGCACTTTTCTTTCAGAATATGAATTCGAAAACTAAATGGACGTTTCAAGAGCTTCAGAAAGCGACACAGGAGGAGCTTCTACAGATAGTAGCAGATTGTGAGGCAATATCCGACGCTCAGGCTATAAATTCCGATCTTGAAGGAGAAAGTGATGCCGACGACAATCTTCCATTGACAAAACAGTTTATTCCCAAGTCAAAACCTACCACCAGGGCAAAGTCAGGCATCATTGTTTCAAGAAGTGTATCAGCCAATACTTCTACCACTTCCGGTAACGTTTATCAAGATGATTCAGATGATTCTGTAAAAGATCCCGATTATGAATATTCTGGATCAGACAGTGGATCTGAGATGACTAATGCTTGTAACAGTGGGATGAATGAATGTCAAGGAGCCTTAGACATCTCAACAAAGGACGTTGGTAATGATGAAGATGAACCAGAAGAGACAGGTGCTGATGGGGATGATGTCGAGTTCATTTGGACGAAAATTGGAAGCCAACCAAAGACCTATAAAGATTTCAACTATAATCAACCACAAGGTGTCAAGGATGTAGTTGGATTGACAAATGGAACCATCGATTCACCTGTGCAGTATTTTCACGCAATATTCTCGGACGTAGTATATGATATGATTATTACCGAGTCTAACAGGTACGCAGAGCAAAAAGGAGTTGGTTTGAATTTACAACGGGATGAGTTGCAAGCGTTTTTTGGTATGCTACTGATAATGGGCTTCCATACCCTGCCAAGAATAAGATTGTACTGGTCAACAGATCAAAACTTCCATGTAAGCCGCATAAGTAACGTAATGTCACAAAAGAGGTTTCTACATATTCTTCGCTACCTTCACCTAAACGACAATGAAGTTATGCCACAGCGAGGACAAGAGAACTTTGATAAGCTATATAAAATACGTCCACTTGTTGATATTTTGAACGAACGATTTTCAACCCTTTACGCTCCCTACAGGGAACTCTCCATTGATGAAAGTATGGTTGGTTTCAAGGGTCGTACTACGTTGAAACAGTATATGCCCATGAAACCAGTGAAAAGTGGATTTAAAGTTTGGGTGATTGCTTGTTCTCGAACCGGTTACAACTTGGGTTTCAAGATATATGAAGGCAAAGAGCAAACTGATTCGGCAGGTATAAGCCTGGGAGAAGGAACCGTTCTTACAATGTCTGATAAATATAATGGTGAGGGGCGCTGTCTCTACTTTGACAACTTTTTCAATAGTTTTCCATTGCTCAAAATGCTTCTTGCAAAAAATACATTTGCATGTGTCACACTAAGGAAAAATAAAAAGTTTTTCCCAAAAAGTAAAATGAGGAACGATAAATCCCTGAAACGTGGAGAATCTGACTATTGCATGGCCGGTGATATTTCTGTATACAAATGGAAGGATCGAGGTACCAAACCAGTCCTACTTGCTAGCAATTTTCACGATCCAAGGGAAGAAACAACTGTTCTTAGAACGAATGCCCAAGGGAATCGCGAGGAAGTTATTTGTCCAAGTGCGGTATCAGATTATAATAAATATATGCTGGGTGTGGACAAGTTTGATCAGCTCATGTCTCCATATAATGTCTCTTGGAAAAGCAGGCGATGGTGGATGAAACTTTTTTACTTTGTTTTTGATGCCTCAGTTGCAAATAGCTACATTCTCTACTCAGAAACGAAAAAACAGACTAAAGAGAAACCAATATCTCAACTACAGTATAGGAGTATTTTAGCTAATCAGCTGATCGGTTCATTCAGTGGCCGGAAATCAATGGGGCCTATACCACAAATAAACAAAAATAAAATCAACAAAATCAATGGCCGTAAGATAACCGTTGAAAATACACAGCGAATGACAAACGTGGGTCAACATTTGCCAGTCCCTGGTACAAAACGACGATGTGGGTATTGTAGTACTAAGAAAAATGTCAAGAGGACAAAAATTCAGTGCAAAGAGTGCAATGTTGGACTTTGCTTACAATGTTTTGAACAGTTTCATGTAAAAAAATAAAAGTTGTTTTATTGAAAGCTATCAAACGCATTTGACTTAAACGCACCCTAAATGTGTGGTGGTCACTATAAGGACCACCACCTGAACGCCATTTTGGAAACTGTAATCAACAAAATGTCATATAAACAGTAGTTTTTGTCCCTGATCACAAAAACTCAGGTGTTTATTACTCTTGTTGATGAAGATTGAAGTCTTGCACTATAAAGGGTTAACATGTCCGGTTAATGCAACCTGAAAAAATACTTGGATGATATTATGAAACAAATTATCTAATAATATCAAGGCCTACTTTGTGAATTCTGACTATTTTCTCTCCGAAATATTATCAAATTTGCCCCCATTTAACCGACTATTATCGTTTCCAAGACCCCAATGGTGGGACTCGAATTAAAAACGTTCGTATATAGACTAAGTCCACGGGATAAATAATAGTCCGAGGTGAAAAATGCTTTAAAGCCTAGTTTCTTTGGCGGTAGTTACTACTAGGATAGATATTTTACATTTCCTCGCTTGGATTAGGCGAGAGACCAGCTTAGACATCCACTGCAAGATCGTATTCGAATGAAATTATTTATCTATAAGATTCCAGAAATTCCACCTCAAGGACCGTATCGACAGTCGTTCCTACAATAACTGTAGAATGACTTTATGGCCTCCTTCATTTTCATAGTATTTTCTCTCCTTCAAAAAGGCTGGGGTATTTCTAGATTTCTGCTGTTCTGTGTGCGCTCTCCTATTGTGAAGTTATGTTTTCATTTTGAATTGCAGGAAATTTCAGGCTGATAAAACAGATGATATAAATCAAAATCATGAACAATTT